GGGGTAAAGGCATCTCTCTTTTATCGCTCCAGAAATCTAAAAATCTAAAACTGTATTGTGCATCGCGTAGTGCCCTCTACGGAATGCCAGGACAAAAATTCATGTCGCATTCTTCTGGATGTGGGGGGTTGATTGTCGTCCTTGTTTTCCGGGCGTTTTTTATCATTACATTTTTTCTCTCCTAAACGTTCTTTGCATAGGATTCAGGAAAAAGTAGCTGCTTTGTTTCCTCCTTTTTCTGGCTTTATTTGTTCTGCCCTTTCTTTTTACCTCTTTATTTAGGTATGGTAGAATTAGGGAGAGGGTGAGGAGGGAGGAAGGGGGGGGGGCTTTACCACCCCCACCCCCGCCCTCTTACCCCGTTTTGCTACTCGGTTGCCGCCTCTTGTTCCGGTCTGCGATTGCGCATGGCCTTTTAATTCCCTAGCTGACAAGGGGAGCCGAGAGTTGCTGACATTTCCATATTACAGCGTTAACCCTTCAAGTCTCGCCCACGTCACTGGCTGGGTGATTGAGGTCAGCACAGAGTTTGACCCCTCCGTGTGAGATTATTGGCGCAGCCAGGCTTCAATGAGTCCCTCCCCCCTCGTCTTTCTCTCCTCCCGCTCTGACGAAGACCATCTATTTGGAAGGAAGAGTAATAGAGACGGCGATGAATATTTCCCTCCTGGAGTATCGATTTGTTTCCTCGGACTGAAGAAGGGGAAGAGTGGCAATACATTTCTGTTCTACTGCCGCCTCCTCTCTCCAAATTATATACTCCCTCCGAGAATACGCACAAGGACACTCGGAGGTTCTCCAGCATTCTATACTATGCCGCCGTCTAGTGAATGATATTTGTTTTGTTTTTTCTTTTGGGTTGTGAGGGACTGCTTTTCCACATTCCCCCCTTCTTTTTCGATATTTTTTTGTGGGTTTGAGGGTGGGGGTTTGGGGACCGGAGGGGGGGGGGGGTTCATTCTAAATTATCAAATAAAACAATTAGAAATTAGACAAAGATAAAATAAATCATGAAACTAATTGTGAGTCGCCGCAAAGTAAAACAAGCAGCTTTACAGCACAGGCAACGTTAAAATACCTGCAGACGTATAAGAACCTACACAATAATAGAAGTATGATTTATCTTCGGACAACCTAAGACCAAGTTCCACATTGCAGGAAATTCTTGTTACGATGTGTGAGTGTGAGTGTATTTTTTTATCAGTTGCCCCTCCCCTCTATCTCTTT